TGAAAGATCCCCGGAGGGTATCTTCCGTCAGAGAGACCCCCTCCCAAGGATCAACGAGGCCATTCGGATGCAAACAGCAAGAGGCTTTTATTTTGATACTCGGGTACCCGGGGCGAAAAGTCATTCGGAAGACTTCCGCGCCCCCTAGATGGGAAGCTGGGGTTTTTATAGGGTTTTAGAGGCAGAAGCACTGGTACAGAAACGAGAGGGCATGGTTACAGGGGGCTGATTGGTACGTTTACACGAGACCACAATTTGCGTCAAAGTTTGGCAGGGGCACCAAGATTTCAGGAACTGGGTGGTCGGGGGGGTAGGATGACCCCTTGACGTGGCCCGCCACCTGTTATTTTGTTTTTCCCTATCTAAGCTGAAACAGTCTCACAGATATCTATGAGAGTGATTAACACAAACTGTTTTTAGTATGACTGGGGCAGCCTGACCACAGATATCCCAAGTGGGTGACACAGCTAGGATTTCTCAGTAATTTTTCAGTTTCTCATCTGGCCTTCAGAGTTTTACAAAACAGTGGTGTCTCACAAAATGGCGTTAGCTATGTTTAACTTAGGGTGAGGCTGGGGTCTTTCAGCACTATGCTCTGTGGTGGATTGGTCTTAGTTCTTTGGTTGCTTTGTAGGCTCAGAAGCCAACACGCCCATGATAGGGCCATTATTACTCAAGCGCTTGTTGCAATAGAGCAAGGCTCCTCCCCTGAAGTTTGGCTTTCTTTACTTCGCAAGTGACACTGTGAACAGCCCTTGCACTCCCGGGAGACGTTGAACTCCATTGTACGGGAAGGGCGTCGCGCCTGCTTGAGTTGCGTACCTTACACTCGGTCTGTCAAGCTAAGCATTGCACAGAGAATCCTAAGTAGCCTTGATAGGCTCTCTGAAAGGCATGTCTAATTGCATGAGGGTTGTGTCTAAGTTTTACCCTCCCTCGGGAAAAAGGACACGGGCTGGGTCAGGACAGTCGATGAATGTAGGGTTCGGAGACTGTACCAGTACATTAGCCATCTGCACCGGGGATTGGACCTCTACCTTTGGCCGTTGTGTCTTAATAAAATAAAAAGGGGGAGATGTAAAGAGCCTGAAGCAAATGCCATTACAAGATGGCGCTGGCATCCAGTGTGTGAGATCGTAAACAACTGCCTATGCGCATGCGCTAAAGCTGAATTCGAGCCAAAGATTGGCTCACTTAGTGATGTAAGATGGCCTGATGGGCTGCATCCAATCAGGAACCAACACGTCACCATTTAGGGTATAAAAGGAGTGCCATTTTGGGGCTCTAGGTCTTCCTCTCATTACTGCTGAATAAACGCTTGCTGCAGAAGAATCCTGGTGTCTGTGTGCGTTCTTGCTGGAGAGACGACCATGCAGGCTACACTCCAAGGGGCAACCAGATATCCCTAATAAAACTGACCAAACCCAAACGACGAGACACCCAGGTTACAGCAGCAGCTCACAAAATTCATAGCAAGAAACACAGAAGCACAGCAGCCATCTCCAAGACTTCTCCAGGTGAGAGGAGAGCCCTCTCAACTAACACAGTACCACTCAAGTCTCTATGTCTGAGGTAAGCTGTGGCAACTCCTAAAAACACTAGCCACACAGTCACCATACACAAAAAGCTGAGAAGTCTTCCTTCAGGAAATACATCTTCCTGCCAAGGGGATTCTCTCCACCACAGGATTCCAGGAACCACCAGAAACTAACTCCCAACACCAAAGATAGCCCAATGGGTAGAGGCCAGCATAAAAGTTCAACCAACAAAAGAAAGAGCAATATGGAATCTCCAGAATCAGTTATCCAGGGGCAAGTAGCCCTGGACACCCCAGCATAAATGAAATTCAATAAGATGACCTAACATCTATACTCATGAAGAGGATAACAGAGAAAACAAATAAAATGCGTAAAGACAGAGAGGAAGATAAACTCAAACAGATCATGGCCATCCATAAAGAAATAAATGAAGATAAAAATAGATTATGGCCATCCTTTAAGAAATACTGGAAGAAAAAATAAAAAATAAAAAAAAAAAGAAATACAGGAAGTTGCAGGCAAACAGTTTTGGGCCTTTAGAGAGGAAATAATTAAATCACTGAAAGAAATAAATAAACAGAGGATTGTTCAAACAGACAGCAGAAAGAATTGAAGAAAAAACAGGAAAATACATTCAGACAGGTGAATGAAATAAAAAAAAATGCCTCAAGATCTGAAGATAAAATTGGAAAATTTAAAGAAAACACAAATGGAGGATACTGGGGAGAGAAAGAACCTAAGGAAGAAAACAGGAACTACAGAGGTAAGCATAATCAATAGACTACAAGAGATGGAAGAAAGAATCTCAGGTGTGCAAGATACAATGGTAGAAATCAATGTATCCCTCAAAGAAAACGATAAATCTAAAAAAAAATTCTTCACACAGACCATCCACGTAATTCAAGACAACATAAAAAGACAAAACCTAAAAATGATAGGAATAGAGGAAAAAGAAGAGTTCGTCCTCCAAGGACCACAAAATATTTTCAACAAAATCATTGAAGAAAATTTTCCCTACTTAAAGGAGAGGCCAATAAGAATACAAAAGGCCTTCAGAACATGTAATAAATTACACCAGAAAAGAAAAAACTTCCATCACATAATAATCAAAACAGCAGGTATATAGAACAAAGAAAAAATACTAAAAGCTGCAATGGAAAAAGGCCAAGTAACATACAATGGCAAACCTATCAGAATCACACCTGACTTCTCAAAAGAGACTATAAATGCCAGAAGTGCCTCGTTGGATATCATGCAGGTCGTAAGAGAACACAGAAGTCAACCTTGGCTACTATACCCAGCAAAACTCTCAGTCCTCATAGACAGAGAAAACAATATTCAATGACAAAAACAAATTTCAAAATACCTACACACAAATCCAGTGTTATAGAAGACATTAGAAGGGGAAAATACAACCCAAGAAAACTAACTACTTTCAAGAAAACACAGGAAATAAATAACCTCACTACAGAAAATAAAAGCAACCAAGCACACAAACTTATGACCAGAGCCAACATCAAAATCAAAGGATCTAACAGCCCCTGGTCATAAATCTTTCTCAACATCAATGGACTCAATTCTCCAGTAAAATGACACAGACTATCAGAATGGATGCATAAAAAAGACCCAGCAATCTGTTGCATACAAGAAACACACCTAAGTAACAAAGATAAACATTACCTAAGAGTAAAGGGCTGGGGGACGGCTTTCCAAGCAAATGAACCTAAGAAGCAAGCAGGAGTAGCCATTCTAATATCTGATAAAACAGACTTACTACCAAAATTAATCAAATGAGATGTGGAACTATACGTCATACTCATCAAGGGAAAAATCCACCAGAAAGACATCACAAACCTGAACATCTATTCTGCAAATACAAGGGCATCCTCATTTGTAAAAGAAACATTGATAAAACTTAAACCACACATAGATCCCCACACATTAATAGTGGGAGACTTCAACACCCCACTCTCAACAAAGGACAGGTCAACAAAACAGCAATTAAACAAAGAAACAATATCTCTAACAGAGGTCATGAATCAAATGGACCTAACAGACATTTACAGAACTTTACAGCCAAACACAAAAGAATTTACCTTCTTCTCACCACTTCATGGACCCTTGTCCAAGATAGAGCATATGGTTGGTCACAAAGCGAGCCTTAACAGATACGAGAAGATTGAAATAATCCCTTTTATCCTATCTGATCACCATGGACAAAAACTGGACCTCATCAACAACAGCAATAGCAAAAATCCTACACACACACATGGAAAATGAACAACTGGCTACTAAATTACAGGTGGGTCAGGGAAGAAATGAAGAAATTAAAGGCTACCTAGAATTCAATGAAAATGAAGGCACAACATACCCAAACTTACGGGACACAATGAAAATAGTGCTAAGAGAAAAGTTCATAGCACTAAGTGCTTTCAAGAAGGAATTTGAGAGAGATCATTCAAGCAACTTAATGGCTCACCTAAAAACCCTAGAAAAAGAAGATGCAGACACACCAAAAAAGAGTAGATGGCTGGAAATAATCAAACTAAGGGCTGAAATCAATCAATTAGAAACAAAGCAATTCAAAGAATCAATGAAACCAAGAGCTGGTTCTTTGAGAAAATCAACAAGATAGACAAATCCTTAGCCAAGCTAACTGAATGGCAGAGAGGCACCACCCAAATCAACAAAATCAGAAATGAAAGGGGGACATAACTACAGACACTGAGGAAATCCAAACAATCATTAGGACTTACTTCAAAAATATGTATGCCACAAAATTTGAAAATCTAAATGAAATAGACAATTTTCTTAATCGATTTGACTTACCAAATCTGAATCAGGACCAGGTAAATCAATTAAATAGTCCTATATCCCCCAAGGAAATAGAAGCGGTCATCAAAAGTTTCCCATCCCAAAAAAGACCAGGACCAGATGGCTTCAGCGCAGAATTCTAAAAGACCTTCAAAGAAGAGCTAACTCCAATTCTCTTCAAACTATTCCAAAAACAGAAATGGTAGGAATACTAACAAATTCATTCTATGAAGCCACAGTCACCTTGGTACCTAAACCTCACAAAGAACCAACAAAGAAAGAGAATTTCAGGCCATTCTCCCTTATGAACATTGATGCAAAAATACTCAACAAAATACTTGCAACCAACTAAGCTTCATCACAGGTATGCAGGGTTGGTTCAATATATGTAAATCCATCAATGTTATCCAACATATTAACACACTGAAAGAAAAAAAAAAAACACTATAATCGCCTTAGATGCTGAAAAAGCATTTGAAAAAATCCAACATACATTCATGTTTATAGTCTTGGAGAGATGAAGGATAAAAGGCACATTCCTGAACATAGTAAAGGCAATAACTATACAGCAAGCCTAAAGACAATATCAAAGTCAGTGGAGAGAAACATAAATCAATCCCACTGAAATCAGGG